GGAATGGGAGATACTGTACGGTAGTGAGGTACATTTGGCTTCACCTGTTGGCTTCTGAGAGAGAAGGGCCTTTCTCTGTTGGTACCCTTGTGTCCATTTCTCTCTCCACCCTTCTGAGTGCTGGAGCAGTAGTGGTCATCAGCAATTGTGATCTCTTCATTCTCCTCTGCCTCCAACTGGCTCTGGTTAAAGCGGAGGGATCCCTTCAAAATGTCTTTAATCTGCAAAAAAACAGTGTTTAATAACAATATTTGGTTTATGCAAAGCTAGACAGAAATATAGACTGATAAGGCAGAAATTGCAAATTGTTAATACCTTTAACATAATATACAAGAAAATATAAACGTTTGCCTAATTCTATATGCAATACCAGCCTATTTGAGGGCCACCAATCCAGGAATGTTCTGTCTTTCATTCTACTCTTAATTAAGTAACTGAGACAATTATTTACATGACTGGACCAAATTCATTATCTTCCCTAGTCGAAAGTAGGAAACGATTTCATTAAACAGACTTTGTAAAGCTAATGTAATGTGGCCCACCAGGGCTGGGGTAGAACTAGGTTCCCATCTCTGGTCTCTGTGGACCTCTGTGGCTTCAGGTTGTTATTTCCATTGCAGCTTAGCTGCAGCCTCAACTGAATTAATATTTTGCTTAATGAGGCCTTTTTTAAATTGATTTCTGCTTTAAAACATTTTGTTTTAAGTTACCCGTGCAATTTTAAAGGTAACTTGATATACACCACACCACATTATACAGAGCTTACAAAAAATAAGACAAGAAACTTACTAATTCAATAAAAGATTCAATTCAGCTCAGCTTGAAGGAAAACTAAAAAATATGATGAATTCCTGAAGCGAACGACTGGGAAAAGCTGTATTAGAGGGAAACCACAGGGAACCATGTTTTCATCACATTTAATTACCTAATTAAATCTGACCACTTTACAGTATGAAATTATCAAATATTATTAAGCACAGGCTTAATAATAAACAGGCTTAAGGACACATTTCAAAAGTGAGAGTTTCAGAAGCACAGGCAGAGTCTGATTTATTAAATGTGTTTAGAATTCCTAAATGCAAAAGAAGAGAATCTACATCTTTGCAGGACAAAACCAACAGCAAAATATCAAAGGCAATGATAAGCAAAGGAAAAACTACTTTCATTGAATCTGTACTCTTCATCAGAACTAATCAACTCAAAGGACTTCATGACATATTCAGAATTCCCAGTACTATAAAACCAAGAATTCTCTATAGCTATTTTGTTTAATAGTGCTTGGGTAAACACAGCTGTAAGACCATTTTCTTTTTACAGATTCCTTTCATTATAAATGTTTTATGCTCTACTTAATCCTAAACTGCATTTCTCTGGGATTTACACAGTGCTGATGGACATCCTTTTGTTAGTGATGTGCTCTAAATTTACAGCACTTAAGATCGTATTTTTAGTCCGGGCACATCATGATATATATCATGGATCAGACATTAGCCTTTAGGCTGGAGAAACTGTCTGGAAAACAGATTAAGCAAAAACGTATTCCCACTGCTTAAATTTTTCATGCTCTTTTTGTCATGTCTGCCCTGGCTCCAGCATCATGGGGTGGACTGACATTACTGTGGCGACTGGCCACACTTCTACTCTCCTGCAAATGCCGGTGATCATGGACGCAGACAGAGCCTGATTACCTAAGCACAATTATGAGCTCCCCAGTCTTAGATGTTGCAGGCTACTTTTTTTCTGGTAGACTGTACGCGACACACTGGCAAAGAGTAGTTCAATAGTTTGTTTCTGAGCCTTGTTCAGTAATTCTTGTATTCCCCTGTTGCACACTCTCAAGTTCCTGGTTCCCTGGTTACTACCCCTGTTGTTCCTGTGTTCCTGAGTCCCTGTCTTTGTTCCTGTGAACCCACTGTAGAGCTTGTTGTGGATTCCTTACCTGGCTCCCCCTCAGCCAGGAATATTTAAAGTGTCTCTCTCCCTTGGACCCTGCCTTGCTTGACCTACAGTACACTCATGGATTCTCCACAGTGCTTTGGACAGTGTCTCATCTGACTTCTCTAGCTTTGACTCCATGCTGCACGACCACAAACTCCCTGCGGCCGCTTGCGTGCGCTTCCCAGCCCCAGTTTCTCCAGTCAGCATGCCAGAGCCTACTCTGATGTCCACCACTCCAGACCTTAATCAGGGGAAGAACCCAAGTGCAATGTGAATATTACAGTAGGCAGGGGATGTTAAACTGGGGGCAAGCTGTGAGTGGAGTGGGAGCTGGCACCAGATAGGGAGAGTGTGCATCGACACAGCAGTGTTGCGCACATACTGGGGCCAATTGGTGCTATAAGAAGAACACGGGAACTTATGAACAGGGCTAACAACTGGGGAACCAGGAACTTTGGAGTACATAACAAGGGAACACTGGAATTAGAGAACAAGGCTCAGAAACGAACTATGCCAGAGTACTGGGTGCAGTCTGACTTGCATTAAGAAGCCTGCACCATTTAAGGTATGAGGTGCTAATAATCAGGCACAAGTTGCCAGGCCTTCTGTCTCATTATGCGACCATGGTAACCGGCATTGTCAGGACAATGGAAGTGTGGGTGGTTACTAGGGAAACATCAGTCTGCCCCACGGTGCTGAATCCAGCGCAGAGACGACACTTACAACTTGATTTAAAAAAAAAAAACTTTTTTATGATTAAATTACAGTCACTAGCATGGACCAATAGTAAATCTCAGTGTACGAATGCTGTTAAAAGAGATGAAAGCTCTTTAGTCTGTGAGAGTCTTTAGGTAGTGCCTAAAGCGTGCACCACACTAGACTTGAAATCATGGATGTGTATAAATATAACCATATTTGGTTATAGTCATACAACCAAATTAATATAAGTGATTAATGGTGAATCCTTTTCCATGAATTTCCAATAAACAATGAGATTTTCCTAGCATTACAAGCAATGAGTCTTACAAGCTATTCTAATTAAAAACATGTAAATTACAACAAGGCAAAAAGGTCTGGAACACTACCACAATCAAGAACTAAAACTACAGCCTAAAATACTACCCAGTCAGGTCTAAACTGTGACAACAAAAGGAACTACATATTCTGTCTTAAAAAACAAGAAAAATGACAATGGTACCTGAAATGCGCAGACCTACCCTAAATCTTTTGTTCTTTGCCTTTCATTGCTATTAGTATTTCAATACCAATTGAGGAAAATGTTCTGGCACAGCCAAAGTTTTAAAGGAATACTTCTGCTTTAATTCATTGTATTTAATTTGTCTGCTTATATTGTGGATTACAACTGTTTTATAACCTACTAACTAAATCCACTGACATTTGTATCTAATCAAGATTATATGTAATATCAGAAACAAGAGTACAAGAACAAATTTTTACTTTACTACAGTGATAAAACTTAAATTTCACAGATATCTAATTCTGATGTTCAATAAAAAATGACAGTTAAAGTGTATGACTTAAAAACTCAGTTTGTTTTTGCTGTTGATTTGCCATGATGACTTCATTAGGAATCTGTATAAACAGATATTAAAATTCACTGCTCATTGTGAATGAAAAATTAAATATATTATTCTGCCCCCCTTGAATCATGAATACTGCCTGGTTACTTTTGGCATGATTTAAGGTTGCCTCTCCGTGAAAGGAGCTGCATGGACAATTAGATGTTCTGCTTTAACAATCAGCAGATTAATCCAGAGAAACCAGCTTCAAAGACAGTCCTAAAAGGAAGAAGGTTACCACACTAGCCCAGGAGTATCACATCTGGCTAATTAATCAGCTTAATCGCCTCCTAACTGCAGTGGCTAAAGAATAAGTAATTCCAGAAATAAATAAACTCCTTATGCCAGGGACTTGTGCAATATATTTATATTCATAATGTGCAATACAACTTTTTGTATACTGTTCTGTTTTGTTCTTTGTATATTCTGGACTGTGAGCAACTCTTCTTAGTGCACTTCTCACTGACTGTACTGATTGTATTGTATGTATTGTACTGTTGTATTATTGTATCATTTCGTTACACTGTTGCTGTGTTGTCTGTGTTAAGCTGCTGTTGCACTGCAATTTCCCTCACGGGATCAATAAAGTATCTATCTTATCAGCAGAATGCCTGGACCACCACCTGTATGAAAATGGCTCAGAAGCCATTCAAAGGAGAATCTGCCAGCTGAGATGATGAAATTATGATTTTCTGCAGACTCAGAAGACCTGAGGTGCAGCAGTCAGAGAGGGGTGGAGTGTTTAACTGAACAATGAATGCCATTTTGTCCTTCACAGATCACTCACAATGTCTGTGATGTTGTCTTCAAGGCTCTGAAAAAACTGTGACAGGCCATCTTTGAGAGATAGCTGCAACTGCAATGGAAAATCTGCAGAACATTCTTGAGCTTTCTGCCCAGAAACTGGTCTGTCTGCTAATGCTGACTGTGTTAATACTTGTGAATGTAATATCTCATAACTTTGTAATACTGTATCTTAATTTTGACAGTGGATCATGCTTTGTACTGAAAACATATAATGATATCCTGACCTACTGTATGTTTTTGTTGAAATGCTCTGTGATTCATATCTTGATCTTAGAGTCAGGTTTCTTTTGTGGCTAAACATGTGACATGGCTGTGATATGACCATAATATCATTGATTTAGAGCAGCAGGAAACAAATTCATTATCTCAATAAAGAGATTTATCTAGAACCTAGTATTTGGCCTAAAATATCTTTTTTATGTAAAAAAAGTTCCCCCTGTCCTTGTTTGACATTTGAAATATGACAAAAAATGAATATCAAAAGCCCTAAAATGAGTTCTGTATTATTACTTGTATAATGGTTGTTGTCATTTTATAAACCTAAAAATGTCTGCTTCCAAGAATCCTAATTCAAACATGTTTGAGAGTCTTTTTGCACTAATGCAGTTTGTATTGCCCAGTGTGATGCAGTATACTTACAGAATATTTTAAATTAGAAACAGTGTACGGAAATCTAATAAAGGTCTGAAACCTCCTGAGGCCAATAAAAGAAATGCAATAATTCAAGACCTCTGTTTCTCTTCCCAGATACAGTGCTATTGGCTGTTATCTATTTGCATGTGGCTTTCTCTTTTAACTAATTAATACATCCATTTATGAAATACCAGCTTAGCTACTTAAATTTTCTTCCTCAGTAACTTCATGTCCTGAAACAGTCCTGAGTTTCACTTTTAGTTCTTTAAAGGAATGTTTTCAAGGACACTTGAGATTGGGGTACTCCTCATCGCTTACAGTGCCAAGTAAAAAATTGTGATCCATCAGTATAATTACAGGAATTATGTGAAATAATCCCTATTTAATTTAGCACAATTAATTGGATAACAAGTAAACAAGTATTGAGTTTGGGTATCCCAGTTCCATATAATGGTCAGACACTTTATGAGTTTGGTCTTCTTCATACAGGTAAGTGGAAACATGTAATGGCACAATGAAAATACATTTTTTGCCAGCAGCCAAAACACTCTGCAACTCCTAACTGGCAACCCACTGAACCCTTGATGGGGACACTATACTGTAAACAGGCGCCGTCCTTCGGATGGGAGGTAAAACCGAGGTCCGCTTCTCGAAAATAGTAGGGGTGTAACCCCAGCATCCTAGCCAAATTTCTCATTGGCCCTTACAAAGTATGGCCTCTTAATAATCCCTATCTATGAATTGGCTTCATTAGTCTGCTCTCCTCCCCACTGACAGCTGATCTTTGGTGAGCGTTCTGGCACACTATGGGTGCCTTCGCATCATCCAGATGGGGCTGCACATCGGTGGTGGTAGAGGGGAGTCCCCATTACCTGTAAAGCTCTTTGAGTGGAGTGTCCAAAAAAGCACTATATAAGTGTAAGCAATTTTTATTATTTCAGATGTCCTGAGAAAAAGAGTAGCTAATGCTCATCATCTGGAGGGGATAGAAAATTAATTCAAAATATTTGAGTGACTCTACCCAGGTGTGTGCATCCTGTCAATATTTCCTCAAGAGCAACCCGAAAAATCAACTAGGAAGTCATGAACAACAAGGAAAATCTATTCCTCTCTAAAAAGTACACTGCCAAACACAGGGATGTGAAGCAATGACGTAGGACTACTTCACTACTGTACTTAAGTATATTCTTTCAAAACCTGTACTTTACTGAAGTAGTTCAAGTACGTAGTTGCGTCAGCATGCGTAGGCTGCAAAGGAACAAGTAAAGGTTTATTCTATGCTGAAAAGAGAAGAAAGGAAACACAACGTTTCGGCTGTAGAGCCTTCTTCCTCATACCCAAAGAAGGCTCCCTAGCCGAAACATTGTGTTTCCTTTCTTCTCTTAAAGTAAAATTAGTTATATTTAACTAAAAATGTAGTCTGTGAACTTTCTTAGGGTGCTTTGCATTTAGAGAACATAAAGGAGGAGCATAGATAAATTCAAAAATTACATATACATCTAAAACATATACAGTTATAAAAAACAGTAAGAATATATACCTTTATATAATACATAGCAATAATTTTACTAGAAAGTTAACATTCTGTATGGTGCATTTATGTGAAAGTTAGGGAATTTATGTCCACAGTCCGTAATATACCCCTGTTTATTAATGCAGTGAGTAAGACTGGTGGAAGTCTCAGCCTACACCAACTCACCAACAAATTTAAAGAAACATGGAGGTTGTGCAATTTGTTCTTTAGCTAGTTTGTTTAATTTAAACAGCTAGCAATATTTTGAAAGATGCAATTAATTTAAATCTGTTTTATACCAGTTTTGAATAAAAACATAAAACTACCTCAGCTGATTAGTAGAGGTGTGTAGTTTAGGATAATTAATGTAAGGAAAAGTGCAGGTCTAGACAATGAGTGTGAAAGAGTTCCTACAATCTTTATGTACAGTTATGTGACATTTTTAACTTGCATTTTTAGATTTAGATTATTTTAACTAAGCTATTTCAACAAAGAGAGAACAATTTTTATACTTTCTATAAATTATGCACTGAAAGTATCTTAACATACTTTCTCACTTGCTGGTTTATTTTATTAATTATAACAGGCTGGGAAAATTAGTGAAACTAGGTAAATAAAGTCATGGTAATATCAGAAAGGACAGCTGCTTTTTACTTTCTGGTGATACTTTTGTACTTTTACTTGAGTACAGTTTTCTCAAATAATTAATAATAATAATTGCTTACACTTATATAGCGCTTTTCTGGACACTCCACTCAAAGTGTTTTACAGGTAATGGGGATCCCCTCCACCACCACCAAAGTGCAGCATTCACCTGGATGATGCGACAGCAGCCATAGTGCACCAGAACGCTCACCACACATCAGCTATCAGTGGGGAGGAGAGCAGAGTAATGAAGCCAGTTCATAGATGGGGATTATTAGGAGGCCAATGGGAAATTTGGCCAGGATGCAAGGGTTACTCCCCTGCTCTTTTCAAGAAACACCCTGGGATTTTTAATGACCACAGAGAGTCAGGACCTCAGTTTTATGTCTCATCCGAAGGATGGCGCCTGTTTACAGTAGTGTCCCCATCACTATACTGGGGCATTAGGACCCCCATGGACCGCAGGGTGAGCACCCCCTGCTGGCCCTGAAATTGAACCTTTTACTGAATTACTTATTTTTGGAAGAAAAAGTACTTTTACTCTGGTAACATATTTGAGTATTTTTGCACCCCTGGCAAAACAGCACTAGTTTGCCACAGAGCACCTTCACAGACCTTACACTTATCCACAAAGTATATTGGAAGAATGTTCTCTAGATAGATGTGTCACAATTATATACTTTTTTGCAACAGTGAGAAATTATTTGAATGGCAACACATTGCCTTCCCAACAGAAGATCATCATCCTGACTGTCAAACATGATGGGAGTATCATGGCAAGACCGCTTTGCTGTCTTATGACCTAGACAGACTGCTATCATTGACCGATTTCATCAGAAAATTGTGGAAGAGAGTGTCAGACAAAACCTAAACACTCTTAAAATACAGGCAATGCTACAACAGAATAGCTGAAGAAGAAATTTTGCATTGAAATGTTATGGCAGGACCTGAAGCAAGTTGTGTGCGCAAGGAAACCCTCAATTGTAAGAGACCTAAAGCTGTTCTATAAGGCAGAATGGGCCAAAATTCATAAAAGCCAATGCGAGAGACTGACAAACAGCTACGTTTAGTTGTATGAACAACTAATGTATAGTTGAAGTAATTGCTGCTTAAAGAGGAGCCACCAATGAATCTAAGGATTTACGTACTGTACGTATTCACAAAAGGATATCTACCATTGGATCAATTATTGAAATAATCTGTATTATAATATAATACTATATATATGATATATTTTATTATAAGTGTAATCAGGATCATCATCTTTAATTAATACTTTAATGAAGATCCAATTATGTTTTAGATGTACATTATACAAAAGTATAGACTAACCTGGGTAACCAGTGTTCTTCTCTCAGCATACTAAGATATAGGTAAAGATATATTCCATGCTAAAAAGAAAAGACACCTGAAGAAGGCTCCACAGCCGAAACGTTGTGTCTCTTTTCTTTTCAGCATGGAATAAACCTTTACAGGATCCTTCGCAGCCTATGCGAATGCTGACATGGCTACCTACCTAATATACTGAAGAAAGATAAGATGTGAAAAGGGGGTTAACTTGTAACTTGTTATTCTTGTAACACAATAAATTCAATGCTTAGGCACCTTTGAGTTATGGTGGGATGGGAGTTAATTGACATGAAATTCCAAGTGCAAGATAAAGACTCCAACTAAGGAAAGATAAAACGGACCATCAAAAGTGTTCAAGGTCTTGGGAATGCCCAAACATAGGGGCCCCCCATTACTAAATTATTACTAATTTGCGTCAGAAGCGGTTGAAATTTGCTATATAAACTGGAAGTTTTGTACCTATATTTCGAACAATACTTTGGTCTTAATGTGCCTTGCATGCAATAACTCAGTTACTCAAACTTCATCGTGGGTTCTAGTACTTATTTGTCTGTTACTACTATACCAGTAACAAGACACATTCTGTTCTAATTTTAATCAGGTGTGAGAAAGACAAAGGCAGTAGGCAAAGGTAATGTAGCGGGAGAACAAAGGCTGGGAGAGAGGAGGAGCGAGAGGCGGGAGCAGGGGACAGAAAGAGAGGCCAATGAAGAGGTGTGAAGTCAGAATAGGTGGAGAGAGGTGTGAGATGAAACTTCCAATGGAGAAAATTTAGAAGAAAAGTAGTCTGTCGCTAAGAGAAGAGGGAAGGTGTGGTCCTGGCTGCATGTAATGTAAGCAATGACCACTTTCATCATATTTTATCACTATATGTCATGACTTTTTTTGTCCCCAAACCTAATGCGTATTGGGGACTCCCGTTACTACTGTGTCAGAATTAGCCCTTTTCACCTTATTTACCTGTTTAAGTCCAGCAAGGGAGACTAGGACCTCATCTTCTTTTTCCAGATTCTCTTGCAAAATGACTTCTTGGATTTTGCCTGAGAATATAAAAAAAAAAACATTTTTCAAAGTATACAATATTTTAAATTAAAATCTATTAAAGAATAAAAAGACATAAACATACTATCATTTAGAAAGTTTCAAAACGGTAAGCAATTTTCAAAAAAGAACACATGCAAGTCACTAGAATAAAGTGGGACATATGGGACATCAGCCAATGAAAATCATTTCAATTTAGAAGAAAATAATATCTAAGATTTTTTTAAAACGAGAACATCTCCCTGTTGCATTATAGAAAGCTATATGTAATGATCATTAAATAAGCCACACCATATTTGTGTTGTAAAAAAAACTATTTAAAAACTTTATTTAGCTTCCATTTTTTTTCTGGCAACAGTAACAATATTCTTTTCTGTCTCTCTTGGCCTAATACCCTTTTTATGTATTTGGAATTTACTGTACTCCATTTTTAATTGTAGTTCTTTTTAAACCATTTTATAAAGTCCTTTCATTTTCCAATACAAAGCATTTTGTTAGATAACAGAAAAGCATAATAACACCAATTTCTTCTGTGTCTTTCCAAACTATACAGAATTTTGCAGTTGTATGTTAAAAACCAAATCAATTTAGTTCATACTTGTGTTAGGAGCATGGTCACAGAAATTACAGCAATATAAACAAGAAGTTAATACTTCAGTTCATATAAGATCTCTTTAAAACAGCCTCTTCTTACACTCCTTTGGGGCTCTGATTATATAATTGATAGCTAACCTTTAGTACCTATCTGTACAGCTGGGCATGCAGGGGTTATGACTCCAGAGGACTAAACACTCAATATCGCTAGTGTCACATTGCTTCTATCCTTTCATAAAGCATATTTTAGGGAAGAGTCTATGGAAAATTAAGGTAATCTAATCTTCAAGCCCACCAGGGCAGCAGAGCTTGATGCCAAAAACACGGAAGAGACAAAGTAAGAAGCTAAAAAAAATCCCATGTGCCAGAAGTTGTCTTCATATACCTACCGAACTGATACTGAAGGAAAATTAAACAGCTGCTACAGAACAGCAATGCAGAACAGATATAGAACAGAAATCCACTCCTGCTGTGAACTAGTGACCTGAATTGTAGTAACCTTGAACAACACATGAAGTCCTGAGTTAGGAAGGCTTTTATAGGCCTTATCCATATGGTGATTTTCTACTCTTTCCCATTTTGTGACACTGCAAAATGATGCATACACATTTTGAAATTTAACATTTTATTTTAAATATGAATTCTCAAACTGAACAGGTCTTAAGGGTAATATAAGTTGGAGTAAACTCTAGAAAAAATACCAGTAAATGGAAAAAATTAGAAATGTAGATTGCAAAGGTATTCAGACTTGTAAAAGTCAATATTTGGTGGAAACACCTTTGGCAGTAATTGCAACTGCAAGTCTTTTTGGGTAAGTCTCTACCAACTTAACACACAAACAGGTGCGATATTCCCCATTTTTCTTGGTAGATGTGCTCAAGCTCTCTCAAGTTGTTTGAGGACAGTCGTTTTCATGTCTTTCCATTAATTATCAATAGGATTCAAGTCAAGACTTGAATCGCGGATATTCACGGTTATAATCTTAAGCCACCCCACTGGATCTTTGGCCTTGTGAGTTAGAACACTGCCCTGACTACACTGAACACTGGAAAAGTGAGTTTTTTTATCCCAGTTTTAGGTTTGAAGCAGGTTTTCCTCTATGCTTTGTCAATACTTAACTCCATTTATGTTCTCATCAGCATTGACAAGCTTCTCAGTCCCTGCTGATGAGATGCAGAACTAAATCATAATGCTGCCACCACCATGTTTAACAGTACGAATGGTGTTGGCTGAATAAAGCACCAAACATGCCTTTATATATCTGTATATACTGTACAGTACATTGTGTAATGTTATATGTTGAGAATATCACATGTGGGGTTTACAATTTTGAGCTGGTTCTTAACTTACCAATGTGTAGGTTCATCATCTTAGCACAGTACTTGCACATAGCTTCTAAGTCATTAAGCTGCCCTTGAAGGAATGAGATCTGGGCTTCCAAGTCCTCTTCCTGAAACAAAGAAAATAAAGGATCTGACTGCCAAGACATGTTCCAAACATTAAATTATAGCACAAAGAACTGAAAGACTCTTCAATACACTGTAGGTGACAGACTCTATAAATCAATGAAAATAAGTATAAACTGTGTAGACTCAATGTGACTAATACTTATGTTATTTTGTACTATTGTAGTAAAGATCTTTATCTAAGAGGTCAGAGGCCAAAAGTGTCACTCAATTCGTTTAATTTATTTACTGCTTTATGCCAGGCAAATTTTAGTTTGCAGATTTCTCAGATAGAAACTGCAGAGTTCAGGGTCTGTGGTTTATCAAGTTACACAACATTTAATACAGACCCTTTCGAGGCCCGAGTTTTCTTGATTGATTTTATGGATCCAGAACATTCTTATGAAAAAGCTTTAAGAACTATGCCTAGTCCTTCACAGTAATTACCCTGTCCAAAAAAGATTTTCCGAAGAATCTCCAAAGCAATGAAAACTCAGATAAAATCAAATCTTCCTCATTTCTCTCTTTGGCTGCCGCCCCTCTCACCAGTTTTTCATTTTTATATTCTTCTTATTTATTGTTGTATTCCTCTTATTTATTGTTATTGTCATC